TCACCCCCAGATCGACTAAGGCTTGGCGCTAAGGCTCAGTCTCAGCTGTCCACGGTTGAAAGGGAAGAACCACAGTTTTATCCTTGTTCAAGCTCATGCCGAAAGTCACGCAGAAGTCGTCTACCCAAAGCGAGGAAGAACTTGGTATGGTTGAGATCAAACCGAAGGCCAGTACAGGCATCAGCGAAGCTAATCACTGAGTGTGTAGTAGACCCACTGCGTAGTCCGACATCACGAAGGCTGACTCGAAGGTAATTGAGCAGGGGCTCAATAAAAAGCACGAATAGTGCTGGCAACAGAAAATCACCGTGGCGGACACCGGCACCTAGCTAAAAGGGGTCCAAAGAACGGCCATTAAACATGAGTGAGACCAGAGTTCCAGGGAACAGGACTCTGATCCAGCGTCTGAAGGAATCACTGAACCCGAAATGTATCAAGACCATGTCCCGTGCGTCCCACACGACACTGTCGGAGGCCTTCGCGAAATCAAGTAGAACTGCACCGGCCGGTGAGTGGTCACCAGCGAACAGCTGAGATAGCGCTTGGAACCGCAGATGAGCGTGGCGGATATCGCGTCCGGGCACAAACCCATACTGGTCCGAGCAAAGAAGGGCTTCCAGAGCCGAGCCTAGCCGGTAAGCCAGGATTTTAGGCCCCAACTTGGCATCGACATGGAAGAGCGAGATTGGCCGGTCGTTACTGGGGAGATTGCGGTCGCCTTTCTTGTACAATAGCGATACTTGAGCACGCCATTGAAACTTGGTCATTCTCCCACGCTGAAGCTGAGCAGCGTACATGACCTCAAGTATACGGCTCCAGAGAGGTAATTCAACCTTTTGATACTCAACTGGTAAGCCATCTGGCCCGGGGGCCTTTCCAGTGACAGTATGGGTTAATTCCCAGTAGAACTTATTCGCCGTGAAGGGGCTGTCCAAGTAAGCCTGATCTTCCGGCTTTAGGCGTGTCCGGGTGGAGTATCTGAAAGAGCTTGATGCGGTCCCATTTGGGCAAGTGGTGTCCAAATTCTTGCGAAGGCGAGCAGTAAATACCAGACCAGTACGAAGAGAAGGCCGTGCAGGTTGAGTCTAGCTCTTCATCCGAGTCCACAGGGGATAGGCGTTTTGTGGAGTACTTGGGGCGGCCGGAAGAAGGTTTTGGAGCAGCGCACAGAGCTATCCAAGTCTGAGGCGAATTTTTGCTTGGACGCGTAGTAGGCTTGTTATTCCAGTTTGGCAGCTTTGGCAGCGGCGATGTGTTCAGAGTAAGCTTCAGCTGGTTCTGTCGCTTGCGAGTATTGGAGCTTGTTCACACGTAGGTGAAGTTACAAGTACCCGATGACGCACGTTTTTCTTGGAAAGGAAGCGCTCGCGGAGAAATATTGAGTCTCTCCAATTGTGCTTATCCAAGAGGCAACCGGGGATGTAAGACTCCCAACTGGGGGCCCGGAAGGAGGCTGCTAGCTCGCTCAGTGCGTTCAGCAGGTGTTCTTGGGGTTCGGGTAGCTGGATGACCCAGGGCGGGCACTTCCACGGGGCACGCGTGTGAGGTTTGAAGCAGGATGAACCTAGCCGAAACAAGATTCCAGCGTGGTCACCTCGGCCTGCCACCCCACGAAAGTCGTGTCGAACGTCTTGGGCGGCAAAGTAGAAGCGCCTGGAGCTAACGAGCACGTAGTCAATCCGAGAACTGCTGTTTGGACTAATAAACTCCTGAAGCTCTGGGTGTTGAAGGCGCCAAGCGTCGACCAAGTGTAATTCGCTCATCAATTCTAGCAGAGCGTTGGACACGATTTCTGTCGCCTTGTCGAGCTTGGTGAAGCTGACTGGAAAGGACGGTGTTCAGATCCCCTAACACAATGTGGTGGGGGTCGTCTTCAAAGGTGCGGGGGAGGGTATCGTAAAACTTAGCCCGCTGGCTTGGCTGGACTGGGGCGTAGACCACGTGTATGTAAGTCGCGACGGAGTCCAGGGTGCCGCGCACCTGCAAGTACCGAGGCATCAGGTCCGAAGAGCTGACATTTGGACGGGACAGGGTGGCGTAAGTAGTAAGCTCACACCGGCCTGCCCCGTATAGGTGGTCATGTTATCTTGGGACCAGAAGCTGGAGTTTAGCCGCGAGGCTGTGCTCCAGTGGTGTTTTGCTCTTTTAAAGCTTTTGATACCCGTAAACTTGGTCTCTTGAATTCCCACGAAGTGGAATTATTCGAGAAGAAGTTCAGGGTACGCTGCGTGACATTACGTAAAACATTCGTGTTGAGAGAGAACCCTCTCAGGGCCCCCTGCATATTAGAGGCGAGTGGGAAGAGAGGTGACAACCGAGGCGGCCCGTTCGCGAAGGTACTCAATCGTGGAGCGAAGGTCAGTTGGGAGAGGCCCAGCCATAATGCGGTCCATCAAGGGCGACATTGTTACGTTGGCAAGGGTCGTGTCATCCCAGAGAAGCCACAGAGGGTGAGGCAGTGCCGATGCTGCCTTCCCTGTCACCGCACTCAGCTTGAGGGAATCCACGTAGATACTGGGTGCATTAATCGGCAGAGCCAGGTCAGCTTCAGCCAGCCGCGACTTGAGCCAGTGTTGGGACTGGTCTGAAAACAGTTGCCCTAATATGGTCTGGAAATCGAAGTCATACTGGTTGGGGTAAAGCGTGGAGAGTCGGCCAAACACGCTGCCTTCATCTTACGACGGATAGTCTTGAGAGGGCAACGCTCAAAGAACGGCGTGTCCAAAGGCTTTGGAACGGAGGTGGTGGAAGCTGCTCACCGCCTTGGAGTCTAACAGGACGCGGTGAAGACTAGGCTGGGCTTACGCCGTAGACAGCACAGTATCCGGGTCCGTCGCGGAACTGAAC